ATAAAAAAAAATCGTCGCTCGGTGCTTTTATCGATGTACGATGTGAAGCGGTGAGGATTTTACTGGTTTTGACGCATAGCAAAAATTTCGGACCACACTTCAAACCGCCTAGTATAAGTTATTGGACTTGAATTTATAACATCGGATAGGAAATTTAATACTCAACATTTAAGTGTCATTTCATGGCTACAGGTAGATATAGGGTCGCGCGAGCGCAGTTCTCCCACAACGTTCAATTCTTTTATGCCTTACATTAAGTAATGAAAAATTTGCTCTAGAACACATTCCGTGGCCTATAGGAGTTACTGTTGCCGATAAGTCACCTTCTAATGTAAGGGTGACGAAAGTGCTAAACGGGCGTAACGTTGTGTTAAGGTTATCCTTAGTCACTAAGTTCATTATTACTAAAGGTTGTAGTTTTCATGTTGATATTACTTTCAGGAAGCGTCAACCTTAGCCATAATACTAAGGTCGTCAGGTCGAGTCGGACCAACCTGAAATTTTCACCTTAACTAAGTCTACCTTAGTGCAAGGTAGATTCATGCAAGTGGACGTCAACCTTTTAGCAAAACCTAAAGTTAAAACCTAAGGGGAAAATTGATCTTAGCACTCAGGTTGTTTTGTACAACAGCACCCTGTACGTTTGTCTATCATTCAGTGTTTGTTTGGTCGTTGTTTAACGTCGCACTCAGTAATATTCCAACTTTATGAAATCAGTCTGTAAATAATCGAGTCTGGATCAGAAAATTCAGTGACTGACGTTATGATCATTGATCAAAGCTATTGAAAGTCGTCCACCTCTACCCTATTAGCCACCTCTGTAGACAAATTTCGGGTTCATGACATGATCCAAATAACACCATTGTATTCTACAACTGAATATATGATATTCAGACACGCAAAGAAATTTTACTGCGGTGTGTATATACACAAAAAAGAAAATACTTTGCAAACATAAAATGGGTTTCTTCACAACTACATGTACATGGCGATGGATTCATTTCTGTTACAGTTATACATTAGGGATTTGTGGTTCTAAATAGTGCCGCGACATACCGTGTAGCCAACATATTGTAATATCTGAAGGTGAAGAAGGAAGAACGGAACACATAATAAAGCCAGCATGATGAGAAGTAAAGCTGCTCGCTTGGTCGAGCAAATGTAAAGAAGGGTAGGCGAATGAGCATTTTGAATTTTTTATTTAAATTTTAAAAAACAAAACAACTAACTCCAGTGTTAAATCCCTCGACTAGCTGGAATGATTCGCTATTGTACTATATGCCCGTGTAACCGTGCAGTAAGTAGTGGGTTTGTTTCTGTGTAGTAAATGGTTTGATCCGGCTGCATGATCAAAGAACAAGGTATAATCAAGATCAAAAATCAAGACTCTCGCATTCAACTACACAACCCCATTATCCGCTATTACCTACACAAATACCACATTTCATGCGTGATTTGGTGACCACATTATCTGATTCTGAACCCTTGGAATTCGTCTAAGTGAAATCAATCACGTGAAGCTTCGTTGTTGTTCCAAAGGTCTTCCAAGAAGAGGATGTTCACACGTCGTCACTGCTGAAGACGACTCCTAGCGGACGCTGGTCAAGGAGGTACCGACATCCGCTCACTGAATTAGCATTCGGGTGACCAAAAATGTATATTGGCTTCGTAACTTGTGCTAATTGTTATTCATTTCTACTCTTCCCACATACAGGCGCTACCTGTTATGAATTATCTGATGTTGTTATTGTTGCTGATAGCATACTTTTGCATGCATGCATACATAAATCACACGCATCCATCAATGCACGCACGCACGCACACACACACACACACACACACACACAATTTCCAAATAATAAATGGACAGCGAAATAATCCATCTGTATGAGAGAATAGTTCTATATTTTCTTCAGGTTGCATCGGTTCAAATATATTTGTAATATACAAATGAACACACTACAGTCAAAACCTTCACACAGTGAAGCAATGGAAAACGATAAACCTTACCCATTTATGGAATGTAGTGTATTATCTCCACCCTTTGGCACTTGTACACATTTGTCACTTTTATACGGGCATAAAGTAAAAGTGCACATACTAATGATAAATATGATGCTATAAATAAGTAGTTTACTAACTTTTATTCAAACATTACAATATAAATCTTGAAAATTCTAGCTTTGGTTTATGCTTAAACAAAAAATGACTAACATTTGAAACTTATTCTATGGCAGGTAGCAGTGCTACTGTGTTGTGCTGTCTAGTCAGACACTGGTAAATGTAGCACCGTATCGGGGACGGAATAACAACGGACGAATAATAACATCAGCACACAGCAATTCTTTTCAGTTGAGCAGATAATACAAATTTTACCATTTTCATCCGTTATTTGAGAGATTTCGTATTTAAACGAGATACAAACTGGCTTTGGCTATACAGACTGTTCTGTTGTTACATGTAATATATTGAACCAGGATTACTCGTCACTGAACAAGCACCAGATACTTTCGGATAAATCAGGAAAATAATATGAGAGAGCTTTATGTTTGTGTGATTCTCAGGTTCCATGGTACTATACGAACATGAACCGGGATTTGGTTGCTACATCCCTGATATTTAGGAATTCATAATCCAATGAAGAAACGTTTTAAAACAAACACATAAAACAACAATTATTATATCCCTTTAACGTGAAAAGCAATAAATATCCCAACTGGAATCTGTGTGCAATATGTTGACCAGAACATTTTTCAATTGTACAACGAAAAACAAGATGTCGTTTCTGTCATTGTTGTTTGAATAAAGAGCATTGTAATGATTCTGTGCGATTGCGACTGTATCAAAGCATGTTTTGAATTAAAGAAATTACAAAGACAATATAAATATGACAGAAACAATGAAAGTGCCAGGACTGACATTGATGAACGCTAGATTTTGTCAAGCTCTTCTTCCGCTGCTAGAAGCAGTCTCGTGACGAGACTTGCACTCAATCCTCATATAGTTTACATGTCTGCATCTTCCTGATCTGATCCATGGTTCTTTCATCCGAAGCAATTTCCATGAGCTGGATCCGCATTTCTTTCACCTGTTCCCGGAACACGTGCAGCTGTATGATCATGGGGATGACGTCACAGAGACGCCGTGTAGCAACCTGAAACAATTGTACACATGGACTGGTATTTAGAAAACAATCTTCTCTCTCTTTGATTACATGAAATGACTTCATGAAAACTATCAAATGCGTTGAATTTAAAGGAATGCATACGTGTTCCTCAAACTTGACACAAATCTTGGTTGCAGCTGACAGTGTGAAAGATATTTTGAATTAGTCATCAATCTGGATACATGAACATTTTGATGAAATGTTACACATGGCCTTTAAAGGAGAGGTATATCGTATGCTTGACCTAATCATACGGAAACATATGGAAATAACAGTGACGGTCAGATTACAGCAGACCAAATGGTATCATGGTGCTGGGGTGGGTTGGGTTGTTTGATAATAATAATAATTCATTTCATAAATGTCCCTCCCATATGTGTGTTGGGAAAATTATTTCAATTCGTCAGCTCCTGTTAGGGTAGAGTATAGTGTGTATCAAAGCTGGCGGAACGGATATCCCATCCTGCGATTTACTAAAATATGTAACATATGAATAACGTTGACATTTAACATAACAGGTATTGAAAGAAACGAGAATGCTTCATTTCCAACTGAGAGAATAGGTCTGAGAAATTCCACAGAGGTATTCCAGGATGTGTATTATGTATGGAATCTCTGGCAAATGTTGACAAAAATACCCAGGGCGATCGAAATCGAAACCACGTATCAATGTACCAGGTAATAGGAGTTAAGACTCATCAATGCTTTGTCAACACCGTTCAATTCTCTTCGTCATTTTCAGAAACTGAATCTGAAACATGAAACACTCGTGGGAAAACGAGACGTATATATCCAAAACGTTAAAATGAAAGTTATGTCTATATGTATATTCAGTATCATGTGGAACATATATTACAAGAGTAGAGTGTTTAAACAAATACTATATGCTTAAGGTTTATTACTGTGAATACATTTACATTTAAACATGTTATAACAACACTGCACGTATTGGTTTGATCAACATGAAAGGTGAAAGCAGACAACACAGTCTAATGTCTTAAATGGAACCCTCTTTCACGGTAGCCCTATCAAATACTCTAGTACCTATCTGATAGTGATATTTTGCCGCGTTTTTCTGTTTCCGTTCTTTTCCTCCTCTTCTTCCTTTCGTTTCTTCTCCTCCTCTGTTCCTAGAGCGGATAAATATGACTGGCACTAGTCAGTGTTCATTAACTGTGATGGACCGAACGTGGCTATCTTAATCGTTGGCTTGCAGACACAAGTACCATTACCAGATATATGTGTGTGTGTGCGTGCGTGCGCGCGTGTGTGTGTGTTTCGCTTTCGGCAGTGACAAAACTGGAAGAGTGCTAATATTGCCTTGAATTATACCTTCACATTCACATCTTTGAACATAACCATAGATAATGAATGTTATCACAGGGAATAGATCCAAAAGCTTCAGAAATAATACGGAATGAAGAAATGGTAAAATCATTTGTACCTCATATTATTCGTCTAGAGGCATAATACAAAAATTATATAGATTTAGAGATCGTATGTTTCTTTTTATAAATAAACTCATTTCCTTCATATATTAGTCTAAAGAAGGTGAGCAGTGAGAAAGTTTAAACACATAGATTTTGATAAGTGATTTATTACCAATCATACGAATACTAACTTGAACCTTAAAAGATGAAGTCCGATTCATCATTCATTATATAAGGAACCAAGACAAAATTCTACGAAACATTTCCCTTAAATCACGTACATGATTGGCGGCAGAATATCCAGAGGAAAGCAAACTTAATGTATAAATACATGTATACTCTGATGGGGCTTGTTATTGGAACGATTGCATTATTCGATTTGACCACTCACGAAATTCGACGCCATAGGTTTTGTCCTGCGAGTACACAAGATTCTCCATCTCGAAATACCTCTGTATTTCGTCTTTGCACTCACTGTTGGTCTCTTTCCGTGTCTTCATTATAACGTCCTGAAATATGTCAAAATGTAAACATTATATACATTTTACGATATCATATACATGGTATCAAAATCGCATACCTGATATAATAAACAGCTACATAACAGCTTTGAAGGAATTTACAAGTTGATACGATGAACCAGGGATACAATTCCATCAATATCCTCCGCAGTCAAATTATTGCAAACCTCCTCACAAGATGCAGTTTCGCCTTTGCTGAAAACCATCGACAACCATCTACCCCCGAAAGTTGAAAGCAAACTTCTGAATATACAAAGGTGCATCGTATAAACACTGATCCGAACATTCACGAGTCATCTAAAAATACCTACACGCTAAGTGGAAAATAGGCGAAGGGCCCAAAACATTTCAAAGTATGCGTGCGTGTGCATGAGTGTGCACTAGAGGCAAAAGTGGAGAAAGGCTGACAACACCAAACAGACCCATGTGTGCGTGTGTGTGCGTGCGTGTATGTGAGCGTGCATGCATGCACTTATGCATCCTTCTATCAATCTGCACACTCATAATCTCGTAAAACAAAGTCATCATAATACTGGCATCCAATCAGTCTGTCCATATCAATCACCCATTAGTTCTTCTTATCACGCTGCGTGTAGTAGTATATACAATGGGGGTTCTGGATCACTTTTAACCAAAGCCTCTGCAAAGCCTTATTTCACAAGTAAGGCTTTGGTCGGACCCTTAGCTCTTGCTACCATTACCCCTACTACAAAAGTTGGGGGATGCGAACGCACCTCCTAGCCGCGCTACCGGGGGCATGGCTGGAGTGTGTTGGTATCCTGGGATTGCACCATCCAATACTGGGCTGCGTCTAACGTGCCGCTATGGCACTATTGTGCCGCTATGGCACTATTGTGCCGCTATACCATGTTTACCTCGATGAAACAGTTTAATGTGAATCGCCTATGATCTCTTTGGTGTTTGTAATAAAGGCTTGCCGGGCTTTTTTCACCCCTTGTTCTATGTACTTTTTTTTCTCGTCCTCGCTGATAGTAGACTTACGAGACTTGGATCGAATCTCTTGTTTCATTTTGTTATATTTTGTGAGTTCAGAGAGTATTGAACTAAACTCATCCTCTGAGATCTTACTGTCAGTAAGTGCCGTGGAAATACGCTCACTTACTGTGTTCAGTTTTGCTTCGGCCAGAACCCTGATCTCGTCGTGTTTCAATGCCTTACGATGCAGTCTACGTGATGCCAACTTAAGCACCAACCCTAACACCCCTGCCACCCCAGCTGTTATTTCAATGCCTAGCACTATAGGTGCAGCCACGATGGTAGCTAACAACCCAACACCTGCCGCTCCCAGCCCCATGCTGGTTGCCATAAGGGCAGCGTCCAGCTCCGGCCCACGATATTGAAAGCTCTATGGTACTTTTTACATAGTGCTTTACGTGTGTCGCGGTCTTGTTCTAGTTGACGTTTCACATCACATAACTGCCTCAAGCGGAACCCGTCTACGGTTTCCAGGGTCTTCGCTACTTCCTCTACGACTGGGTATAGCCCCATTCTGCGTGCCTATAATATATCTGGGGAAATATTTTTTAATTGGGTATCAGTTAATAACCGATCAACGTACTTGAAGTTTATAAGGCCTACATCCTCAGATAGGTGAATAGTGGAAAGGTCAATAGGTAATCCTTGGCTACCTACCCTAAATATCTTGGAGCTTATTAAGGGGGGCAGCAACCCCCCACTCGAGTCCCGTCGTATAATGATATTACAATGGTAGTCAGGGTTAAAGCCAACATGACCAAGTTCTATGCTCACCCCAGATAAAAGGCCCAATGAGTACTTCATACGGACGTTTTTTAAAAAGAGTATTATGATTAATGTGGAGCCTGGGGGCATAAACTTAGGAAATGGTAGGTCAGAGTATATCTTAAACGATAACTGTGCCGCCCCCTGGGTAGATCTAACATGTAACCAGGGTGATTTGGGATTTGGGAAATTCTAATTTCTTTAGCCGTCGGGTTGAAACCCCCCGAGCAAGATACCGCTGTTCTTAATTTCAGCGATAAACCTACCATCATGAAAAGACACGTAAGGTGTGGTGAGGGTTATGTTGAGCAACCATTCGGACTCCATAAAGTGGTTGTGTAGATTTCTCATAAAGTCGTCTGGCAGGCTCATCAGCATGTACACACCACCTATTAATTGTAGGACGTACAAGGCGTCTTCCGAACCAGGCTGATCGAATCCCTCTAGGTCCCTGAGTGTGAGTTTGGGCAGATGATCGGCCATTGCTGCCCGCCTATACACGTTGTCTTTTAAGTGTAGGATGTATGAGCCACCTTCCTCACCAGGCTGATCGAATCCCTCCATGTCCCCTAGGTCGTTAAGCGTAGTGTTGGGACGATGACTGGTCATTGCTATAATACTATTACGATATAATTTCCAACTGGTTTTCTGATAATAGTTCAGGGGTTAACTTCACCCCCATGAAGTGTATGTTGTCAGGTAGGAAGATCTTGGTTAGTGATATAGTGTTTTCCACGATCACGGTGACACCCCTGCAGACTGGTGTTGGAGCCGACACCCACCCGCACGCAAACTGTGCAAACGTGATACTGGTGTCGTTTCACCCACCCAAGTTTGATCCCCTTCACGATCTCGACATCATTCCCCGATGGTTCCCCTAGGTAGACTTTGATGATCAGTGCTGAGTTCGCCGGTAGACTCTCTAGTATCCTGACCACGCCTTCAAATTCAGACACCAACCGTAATGTCTCGTTTTGCATGCCCGCTTTACTCGATAGCATGTGGGCTGCCATACTGGCGACTGGCTGATGACTACGCTTACGTCTCTGAGTCGACGTAGTTTCACGAGCAGGGTTCCGCCGTTGTTAACGACTTTGTTTAGGTGGTTGTTGTCTTTGTTATCCGTGAACACGTAGGGGGAGCCGCCCAATATTGAGAAACCAGTCGTCTTTATCAGGTAACAACACCCACTTGTCATCTTCGGTGAAGACGAGTGTATATGGCGTGTTTCGGGCGACGGTAGTGCTCTCAACATCGTCTAAGTCGAAACAATTTGCCCCCGAACGATGGGTATATTATCCAATTATCATTACCGGTGGTGACTAGGGTGTACTTAGTGTTGACTACCGCCTTTGAGGTATCTACTATATCACCTAGGGCTCCACCGGAGGGGACTTCAACGCTTTGTAAATGTTGTTTTTCAGCTGCAAGGCGCATAATTTCTACCATCTACTCTGAGCCGCCGAAAACCGCTATGTGTCCCCTGGAGGTCGGAGATCCCCACATTGACGCATTTTTTCACCCCGGCCCTTGTGCGCTGGTCATTTTATGTGAAGCGTTGCTTGCTGAGGTATCCTATATTCACGGGATTATGATTTATATCTAACAATCGATATTATCAGCTCAGGTATGTTGCCCTGAGTCAACCTCTTATACTGCCGCGGTGAAAACGACTCTCGGTTCTACCGTCGTTGTATTTCTCCGCTTTCACCGCACGGCTCTCAGTATAGTGGAAGGTGACCCCCTTGAATGTTGTACGTTGTGCTCACCTGACCTAGATGAATGTACAGCCTCGGTACGGTACTAGGTCGGGTAACTTCGTGCCTGTGACGGTTGTTGTTGGTTTTATCTCGTCAGGTGATATACCGAAGTGTCTTCGCCAATGGCCGGCCGAGCCTCAAGGAGTTTCTTCCGTTGTTGATTAACACCACTGTGCCGCTTTGAGTCGTTCATCTTGGAGTCTGGCTCCCAGGGTTTGAAGACCTCATCGCTTAGCTTGCACACGCTGTAGTAGCCGTATTTCAGTTATCTGGCTGCGAAGTTCCACTCTAACGAACAGCTTATTGTTGCTGGCGCTGATGTTAGTCCATTGCGGGTAGGTAGGTGATATCGCGAGTGCGACTTCGAGTTGACCGGATCGACGATTATCGATCGGGTATACCAGCTGAACGGCCTCACCGCCGCTATTCCTGGAAGTGTTATGTACATGTTAGAGTATATATGCTCATTATATAATAGTTTTAAAATGTATTCCAAAGGAGGAGCATCCTCGCAAGGAGTGTCTTACTCCCCTGAGTGTTTTAATTCTAAACTGGACATAGATTTCACCCATGAAGATCGCGGGTTGCTGATGGATGTATTTCAACGCCCAGCTTTTAGATGTGTTCAGCCTGTATAAATTTTCGGTGACTAACGCTAAAGGTAGTTCATGCTTGGTTCAACAACCCGATGCAGTTCTGGCAGAATCAACTCAACTTCGCCGTGTGGTGCGCTTACAACGGGTGTGGTGTGACATTGACCGACACTGCGGCGGGGACCGCTTGAGTCAGTCTGTGTTCAAGTTCCACGGTACTACCAGGTCAGGCGTATCCTTAAAGAAATCAGCGTCCCGCCCCATTACAGGACAAATGCATGGAACCCATTAAACAACAAGTAATGATAGGCGGGCCTACGAACGTATTTGCAACGAATTCGAACTTAACCCGAAGACGGATTGGCGTTTGCCGGGGCTGAACCACGGATTGGGTATCCCCATCGTTCACCAAATGCCCCTTTGTGGAAGCCAGCAAACTGCTTGGTGAAAGATTGGGATACAAGTCGTATCATCTCTTCACAACCAACGAGTGGGATGACCGTTACATGGCTTTCAATGCCAACAAGGAGTACAGAGTCTGAGGTTTGATCAGGGAGGGGCAGCGGATGACTGGAAAGTTTATGTTGGACACGTCGAAAGGGTTTACTCTCGCCGGCACTGAACGCTTAAACGACTCGATTCTGAACGTACGTGTGGGCGGTGTTGGGTGCGCAGACGCAAACGCGTTCCAGTATTATCGGTAAGGGGACTGCTTTTACGACGCCAGAAACAGTTCGTTGTCAACGTAGAGGATGCTATCAATGCTCCAGTTGATCTCCCGAGTGCCATCAAACGCTACCAAGACGTGTTTGGAATATGCCAGGTCGAAAGTCGACTACGTGTTCGACGTGGGGTTGTACATGGCTCCGAGTGA